TAAAACAAACATTTTAGTCTGCCGGCCAGAGATCTTTGAGGTTAAATACCGAAAAAAAACAGTACTCAACTTCACTTAGAAGTAGTCGCAGGCTGATGAGTTTGTTTTTTGTTACAAAGAACGAGAGTTACCTTGGGCGGGAGGCAGGCTCCGAAATAATGCATTGCTCTTTGTAGCATCGAAGGTTTAAACGTTTTTACTCAGTTGCCATTTCAGAAGGTTTTAAACTTACAAGAAACCTGAGGTGGTTGTAATATATTTATCTTACTGTATAATGTTTCTTAAGATAATCTCATTTTCATATATAATACCGAAAAGAAGTGGAAATCTGCGTGTTAAATTCTTGCAGAAATTGAACAGTTTTTAAACAAACTCTGATGCTATGTGTTGTCTTCCTCCTGTTCTACCACGTGGCACCTCTTGTCTGAATTAAGGTGATTCTTAGGCTTGATATGCTGTGATTTCAGTGGGAACATAACCTTGGCCTGAGTGGGGATAAAAAGAGAGTTCTGCCGTGGCCAGGTGGCTCCGTTGGTCAGAGGGTCATCCTGGGGTTGTTTGTGGGCTGTTTGTGGGTTCCATCCCAGTTGGGACACATACCTAGGTTGCAGTTCCATGCAGGTTGGGGCTCCTCTCTCTCCCTTCCTCTTCCTCTAAAATCAACAGGTGAGAATTAAAGAAGAGTGGATTCTGACACCATGCCCTCTCCCCCCTCTCCCCCCTCCCCCAGCCACTGGCTGTGTAAAACTTGGATGAGGCACTTGGATCTACCTCTGGCCCAGTTCTTCCGCTGTGAAATCGGGGTACTGGAGAGATGCACTCGTTGTTGAGCACTAACCGTGCTATTATATTTTATTAAATCAGGAAATGGAATTAAATAACTTGGTGGCTGAGGAAACACTGATGTAGGCATCGGTGCCTCATCCTTGAGCACCGGGGTGGGGGGCTGGGGGGTTAAAGTCTGACCCCGGAGCCAAAGCTGCAGCTGGTGGCAGCCGCCAGGCGACACCTTCAGGCTTGCGCTCCCTGTCCATGCCACGCGCTCCCTCCCCTTCGCTGCTGTAGCTCATCTTCGTCTTTCTGGTACTTCTACCATCAACTGTCCATCCACATCCGTATTTACAGTCAGCTCAGCTTCTGCCTCTGCCTTTAAATTCCCGTGTCCTATACAGGAGTGGCAGGGGCTGCAGACTCGGGGGCCTGTGGGGACAGTGCTCACATGACCGCAGCAGGCGAGGTAATAAAAAGCAAAGTAAACCAGAAGTGACTGACAACAGGAAAATGAGGGTCCTGAGGAACTGACATCACTATGGTTATGGCACCTGCACCCTTTCTAGCTCTACCTTGTGATTGCCTGATCCGCCCATTTTTTACGGAGAGAAAGTCGTTTAGGCATTTCCTGTGATGTTTCCTGATTCTAAAAATTCTGGGACGGATGGATTGCCCGCTTCTAGTGTCTGATTTACGTGACATGATCATGCAGTGGTCACATTTTATTCATTAGCAGCTTACTCTGGGCAGACGACGAGTAGTGTGTTCCTCCTGAGTCGTTTTTTACTTAAGTGATTTTGCACTTTTGAACGTCAGCAGTTAGTAATATCACCAACCACAGTAGGAAATTGGAATGGCAGGCGTGCGGGAACAAATATGGTTAGTTTGGCAAGTAAAATTGAAAATAGAAGTCAGGAGCTCAGTTCCATAGTCAGGAGCTCAGGTCCATAGAGATTTGGGAAATCATCAGCAGTCAGGTGATCGTTGAAGCTACGGAAGCAACGTAATCCAGAAGAGGTACCTGTAGAGTGGGAAGGTTAACGACAGGACCGCGGGGAATACCAGCTTCCGGGGAACATGAGGAAAAATGAGAACAGAGGGGATCTGGGGGGCTTGGAAGGTTCTAGTGGTAAAGACCAAGGAACCAAGGGAATAGTAAAAATAGTACAGAGGGACTGCAGGAGGAGACCAAGAGAGGCATTTGAAGTTGTAAAAATGAGGAGGTCATTTATGCCTTTTCCAGACTAAGTTTCAGTAGCAAGATGATACTGACTTCAGGTTCTATGGGGGCTCGAGGAGCAGTAGTAACTGAATACAATTTAACCGCCCAGGGGATTAGTTTCTACAATGTATTGAGAACTCAGAAATCAGCAAGAAGATAACCTAGAGATAAAAATGGACAAAAGACAGAATTATAAATGCTTAACCTCATAATTAAAACACAGTGAGATACTGTACACCTACAAGATTGGCAAAAATTAAGGAACTGATAATATCAAGTGTTAGCACAAGTGTAGATCCATAGAAACTTACACATCGTCAATGGGAATATGAACTAATATAGTTTTAAAAAGCAACATGGCCAAAGAAACCCAAAACAGTAGTTTAAAAGAATACATGTGGTGGTATTTACAATAATCAAAGTATGGAAGCAACCCAAGTAAGTGCCCATTGATAGACAAGCGGATAAAAAGTGGTGGTACATCTATACAATGGAATATTACTGGGCTGTAAAAAAGAAAGAGAACTTACCATTTGCAAAAACATGGATGGACCTAGAGGGAGGGCATTGTGCTAAGTGAAATAAGTCAGAGACAAATACCATATGAGTTTACTTATTTGTATGGAAACGGACTCACAGATACAAAGAACAGACTGATGGTAGCTTGGGGGGTGGGGGGCTGGGTGGAAAAGGTGGAAGGATTAAGAAATGTAGATGGGCAGTTACAAAATAGTTGTGGGAATGTAAAGTAGAGCACAGGGAATGTAGTCACTAATATTGTAAAAGCTAAGTATGGTGCCAGGTGGGTAGTTGAAATGTCAGGGGTACCACTTTCTAAAGTGTATGATTGTATGACCATTATGCTGTATATCTGAAACTAATACAAAATAATGGTAAATGTGAACTATAATCGAAAGATGAAAAAAATGTGGGTACTGTCTTGCTGTGTCTGTAGCAACATGAGGGTGGGGGAGTAACTCAGAATTCTGTCTGTCAAATGAGTTGTCATACAGTTACGTGTTGGTTTATTCTCAATTTAAGGAATTGGAGCTGCATTTAACAGCATGATAAATAAGCTGTTTCCCTTCCAATGTGTTCATTGGAGGGAGAGCGGTAAGGGTCCCATCTTGAGGAAGAGATCAGATGTGAAGGGAGGCTGCTTTGGTTTTTTGTTTCCTTACATAGAGGAGATGTAAGTGTGTGCATTGGCTCTGGAAAAGGAACACGTGGAGGTGAGCAGTAGTGGAGGCAACAATGGGTGTTTCACAATCAGAATCGCTGGTTAGATTTGGAAGGAGGGAAGGGATTCTTCTTCCTCTGAGGAAGAGGAAGAGGAATGGAGCCAAGCTGCAGAGTCGTTCAGAGTCGTAAAAAAGAAGCCGAGAGTCGCTAAAGAAAAAGAACACTGGACAGTTGGCGGCTTAAGAACACAGTCCGGGTGCACCGACCGGAAGAGGGATGGTGTTGGGATGAGTGAGGACGTCGCCGCGCCAGCTCGTGGTCCTGTGCACCCAGTGTCGTCAAGACCCTGCACGGGGTTTTCATCGTTTTAGAGTGAAAGGTAGAGCAGGTGCCCCAAACGAGTTTATCGTCTTGAACAGGTGAAATATACATATGAGAAAGTTTTAAAAGAAGGAGTTATAAAGTCATGAAAATGATCTAGTGAATGGTTTAGATACTGTATGATTTTATAACAGTGGGATAAAAAAAATACTTGGGGAGATGTGTGTCAGCTGTAATTCAAAAAATAAGTTACTTAAGGTAAAAAAAAAATGCGGGGTACAAGCGAATACTCTGAGGTCCAGCTCTATCACTAGCGGTTCCCATGGCATTAGGCGCATCCTTTCCGACTGCACACCTGAGATTCCTCATCTATAAAAGGTGGGGTGGTGGGGTGGGGTACTGTTCCCAAATTCCTTTCTTGGAATCTATGAGAAAACCAAAGAACTGTTGACGTGGACCTGGATATAAGACGTAAGTCAGAGATGAGTCTAGGAGATACGCAGGATGGAGGAAACGGCACGAGAAAACACAGGGCTCACTTTTGGGAAGGTGGGGAGTGGCATCACTTCGGTTGCATTTACCCTGAGACTTCACGAGTGGAGTATTTATAAGCGAAAGCAGGAAGGTGTGTTTTTTCCAACTACAGTTGTCATTTATACTTCACATGAAATACTTTAAAATAACTGACCTTGCATATCCAAAACTAGTGCAACCAGATTATTTTGAGGGATGATTGACTGTTTTCGTTGGTGCAGAGAGATGGGGAGCCGGGGCAGAGCAGAGTTAACTGCAGTGTGTAGTCTGCGGACCGTGTTAGAAATCCAACTGTGAGTCCTTAAAGCAAGATTCTACCAGAACGAGACAGTTTTCAAATGTCTTGAGTTCAGACTCACGTGATGATTATCAACCCAAGGCCAGGGGGTGTAGAGCTAATGGTAATAGCTACCGCATGCCCCAGGTACTGGCCAGCCTGCTGACCCAACCTCCAGGCTGCACCACGGCTTGGGAAATGAGGTACTAGCAGTATAGGCACAAGAACTGAGGTTCAGAGATTGAAATAACCGTCTCCACCAGAGACCGCTGGTCAGAGGCAGAGCCAGTTCAGGAGCTCAGCGTCTTTGCCTTAGGCCCCACGGGTGCTGGGAGGTTCTCTGGCCTCAAACCACACTTGGGAGGGAGTGGCATGGGAAGAAGGCATCTACAGCATCATGTTACCGAGAGGGGCAAAAGTGGGTTCACAGGTGCGAGTACAATTGCATTTTCCATGCGAACAGTTGTGAACCTCCTTTGCCCCACCCTGGATTTACATGTCTGACCCCACCTCCCTGGAAATCTGAGGCCTCAGTGGCCATGTTTTTACAGGGCTGCGGTGTATTGGCAACGGTACCTTCTTCTGAATGGGGCATGGATTGAAACACAGCTGTACCTTAGCTTTCCTTTCCACTTGGTCCTGCTCTTCCAAGCTGCAAGTAGGAGAATGCTCATTTGTCTCGTTCCCTTTCAGGTATCTATTTGTCAGATTTAACATACATTGACTCAGCATACCCGTCAACTGGCAGCATTCTAGAAAATGAGCAAAGGTCAAATCTGATGAATAACATCCTTCGAATAATTTCTGATTTGCAGCAGTCGTGCGAATATGGTAAGTTTCTGGGGGATGATGCTGAGCCGTTACTGTGTGGCGATCTTGCCCACTGTTCACACACCAGGACGGCCGCTTTTCACCCATCAGGGGGCATTGTCTCAGCACCAGGGACTGTAAGGGTCAAGTTATTTCACTGTTTAATACTTAGTGTCCTGTTTAAGAGCCTGCTTTTAAGGAATTGAAGTATCTCATATTTAAAACTTGAAGTTTTATCTCTGCTCTTTTGCTATTTTGTAACAACTTTGCTAACATAATCTACAAAATTATTTTCTATTATCTTCATTTCATTTGATGTCCCTGATCTATTATGGAAATAGTTCTCACACTTTTCCACTGGGAAAGGGCTAAGACTTGATCCTGGTAATAGCTGATGGGCCTTCTTGAGTCTGATACTGAGTAAATAACCAAGTTTTTCCCAAGATGTGTCTTGTGGAAATACATGTTTAAAAACAGCGTACACAAGCCCAGAAGATTCGAAGAGGTTTTTGTTTTTAATGTCTTAAAATATTTGGATGCTTTCAGTTTGATAAGGAATAAACATAGGCTACCAATACATAATCTTTATGAGATTATGAAACAGTGAGTTTATACTGTATAATTAAAACTTGGGGTTGGAGGTGAATCTCTCTGAAAGTTAATCTCTTTTTCTGTTTTTATTTATATTATTGATACTATTACAGATGCAAACAGTATCATTTTGTCCTTTTCTCAATGTCTTTAAACATAACACCAGGTTATAATGTTGAATTACCTATACCAACAACATGCAACCATAATTTTATCAATTACTTTCAGTCTTACACTAAATAAACTTTCTAGTAATGTCCTTCTAGAATTAACTTAAATTGGGGTACCACGTGGCCTTCATTCACCTTTCAAAATTATTTTCTCAGCTTAACTTTAAAGATTCTGGTTGAGGTGAACTTTATAAGATAATTAATTATTTATCATCTCTTACCTAGATATCCCCATATTGCCTCACGTACAAAAATACCTGAATTCCGTTCAGTATATAGAAGAACTACAAAAGTTTGTGGAAGATGATAATTACAAGTAGGTTGGATCTTCAAAAATGGTTTGTGTAACTGTCCTCCCCCCTCTCATCCCCATGTGTTCAAACATTTAAGTCTTACATCATGTCATGCAAATGCCTGATCCAGCCATGCATTTAAATGGTAAAGGTATTTACATGTATCTCTTTTTAATCACTTGACGTGACGGAGTCAACGTACAAAGATCTCATCTGTTCTACTAAAAAGGATTTCATCTTTCGCATATTGTTAAGAGTTATGACTGATAGTTCTTCCCTGGTTTAAATTTCTTCCCTATTTTCAAGCTTTGAATCTTTATAGGTATTTATCTTTTAATAGACTGAAAAATTAACAAAACACTCTACGGATAGAAAAGTCACTCCTTTAGATTGTGATTTTTGACACATCTTTGAACTTGTTTTGAATTGTTTTTGTGGTGTGAGAGAATCTTGAACCTTGCTTTTGGGTTAGAGATTTTTTGTTTATATAGCACCATATTTACCCTTTGTTTTGTTAGAGCAAGTCCTTTATTAAAGATTTTTAAAATCATCATTAAAATAGCTGGTGTCCATTTTCTTCTCATTAACCCCGCACAGTACTGACCAAGGTAGGGGGAAACTTTGAGTTAACCCTTTGTGTTTCTCGGAGGTCTACTGCACACCACAGCTGCCGGGAATTTTCTGTGGGAGAGGAAGAGCTTATTTCTCTTGAGGCTTCTCTCATTTTTCTTCTAGATTCATTTGTTAATTTCAAAATTTTTTAGCTTTATTATGCTAGTTGTTCCTAAGCTTTCAAATTGAACTTCGTATCTTTCACAAATATTTTTAAAAAATTATGGAAGAGGGAGAGAAAATCAATGTATCTTTCTTCCCCTCGTCGGTATAACCAGCCAGGGTACAAATATTTTTTCCAACCAAAGTTTTTTCCCCCAACAAAAGGTCTTTAAAAGTTTATCAAATTGAAAGAATAGTTTGGTTTTTTATATTAATGCATTATGTAAAAATATTTTTATCTCATGATATTGATTATCAACTTTTTTGTTTCATACTTTGAACAATTTTTTAAAAAAGAATTCTGCAGAATGCAGTTCATACCATTAAGTGGCTAAAAAAATTCTGGAAAACACCTTAGAAATAACTTCAAAACATTAAGTGCATTAATATAGAGCATTTAAGAGCATTAAGAAGCTCTAGACAGATTCTTAAAAATACCTAAAATTGTATTGATGTTTGAAAACACCTTTATTGCCATCCCCCCATATCATATGTACCATTCTATATCTCTGTATCAGTATTTATTTTACACCAGCTTTTTACATGGCATCCACTAGAAGTGTGTGCAGTCTGTGAATCAGCTTTTTAAGGCTCGAGCTGTTTCACAAGTCTGTTGCTGGCCTAGGCTGTAAGCCTCATGAGTTAGATGGTCTGTATCTCATGTTTACCACTATTTTTTCCATCGTGCTCATTACCAACATAGCACGAAAACACTTATGTTTTGTCTAATGAGATACAGAAGATTGTCTTAAAACTCAATGTGAGTAAGTAGGTATTAAAATTTCTATATCTGACTCAAGAAATTTATTGGATTTAAAAGAGGTTGAAGTTTATTCAATAGAAGTGAAGTTTTAGAAATTATTGCATAGTTTATAGTGAGTGGTAAATTTTTATTGGCTAAGATAAAAGCATAATAAAAGTATTTAGGCTATTTTTTGCTTTGTTAAAGGAAAAAATCAGCTGTTTTTAAGACATTAAGTCTGAGATCTGTCCAGAAGGTATCTAGGTATCTAGCCATGTAACTTGAAAAATAGAGATTTATTGAACAAGATACAAGAAACCTCGTACATGGGACAGTGATACTTCAGTCCCCTTCCAAGTAGGCATTTTGGGTCCTCACACAGTTTTCCCAATTGCTGTCAGCTGCCCCATTGTATTTTCCTGAATCTCTTCAACAGTCTGAAATCTCTTCCCTTTCAAGGGTGATTTTAGTTTGGGGGAAAGCGCACCAAGTCTGGGCTGTCGCTGGGCTGTGTCACCTGGGTGATTTGCTGTTTCACCAAAAACTCTGTACCAGATGCGATGCATTGAGGGGGAGTGTGGTCCTGATGAAGCTGCCAATCACCAGTTAGTTGCCCATAGCTGCAGCCTTCCGAATCATCCAAAGAGCTTCTACAAAGGAGTGTTCAAGCGTAATGCAAAATTTGATGCAGAGTTGTTGCTCTACTCACTCAGTCATTTGGACTGTGATGACCACACAGTACACACACTCACTCAGTGGAGTCTACCGCCCCCACTGACTAGTACAGTGACATCGTCATTGTTCATGCATGTGCATTCCAGTCCATTCTCTGTGGCTGCCAGGTTACATCAGTGTTGTGCAAACTATTCTTGTTATATTAAAAATGGCTGGACTTTTTCTGGATAGATGTCATAGTTTTAACTGTCTATAAACTGACATTATAAAATACCTTGCTGTTATATTGATTCTTATCATGAGGAGCTAGAAGCAAAGCAGTCTTCCCATAATATGCGTTTAACAAATATGTATAGGCAAGTTACTGTGCTACTTGCTAGGATTACAAAACTAAGATCTTGTCCTGAAGAAGCTCAGTCTAATGCAAAACACATCCACAAAACAGCCACAAAACCCTTCACACAGTACTGTACCAGAGATATGCCTAGGAAGCCCCGGGAACATACATAAGGGAGAACCTGACTCAGCCTTAAGTGGGGAAAGTGAAGAGAAAAGAGCCCTGAACAGCTTCAGGAGACAGTGTCACCTGAGGCTGAACCCGAGTAGGAGTTGGCTCCACAGTGGAGGTGAGAGAGGTGTTGTAGGAGAGGGAGTGATGGAAGGAACGGGGTGGGAAGTAGGGGGTCCGCTGGGGGGTCCCAGTCACTCGGCGGAGTCTGAGCATCATGCGGGAGACTGAGGAAGACGGATTGTTCTTCTAAAGCTGCAGCTGTGTTGCGTGAGCCTGCCAGTGACACGGGTTGGGAATCAGTGTTGTAAGATAGGAGCCATGAAAGTGATGGGTTAGGAAAAAGAGAGTGTGTGTGTGTGTGTGTGTGTGTGTGTGTTTAATGCTGAAAGAGATTTAAATGAACATGACACTTCATTTATCCAGTTTCGGCCTCTGTTTTGAGCACCTTCATCTGTACAGGCAGCTAGTATAAATATTACAAACGACATGCATGTGACTTAATCGGGGTGAAATTCTTTCAAAGTTACTTCACCCCTGAACGCACTGCCTGTTTTCATTGAATCCGCATCGCGGTTCCCGTAGGTGTTTTGATGATGACGTAGGCAGCCGACACCCTGGCCAGCCTCTCCTGCAGCCCATGTCAGGGCACTTCTCCCTGTTATGCTGCTGTCAGTGATCAGCGGCTGCTGAGAGCCGTGCGATTCACCCACAGCTCCCTCTCCGTGTTAGGAAATTGTAGTTATTCTGTTCACTTCTGTGTCTTCCATTTACTAGACTAGAAGCTTCAGGAGGGCAGGGACCGGACCCCATGTCTGCCCTAGTCTCTTATTATATTTGCTGAGACCACACTGCCCAACACAAAGCAGGTGTTCAGTAACTATTAAATGAATGAACTCAGTTTAGTCTGTAGCCCAAATAATTAAACTGTCCTGTAAAAAGAAATGGGGCATAGAGTTCTGGTTAAATAAGATCTGTTCAACATACACATTTTATACTGTCCAGTAACTGGAATATAGTTATACGTAATTCCCTGTTAGGCTGTCAAAGAAATAATGAGAATCTGTAAGAGGTTTATCATTATGAATGTCACTTGGATTATGCAGTTTCATAAAAAATTCCAGTGGACAGAATGCTAAAAATAAAAAGCCTTTGTTAGTTTTCAGACAGATGCTTCGATGGTAGGCTTTGTGGACTGTGCCAGAGTGCACTCTGCAGTGACTTTAGTGTCCTGTTTCCCACAGCAGTTCCCTCTGACAGGAATCACAGTCTCTTTCTGCTGTGCAGCTCAGTACTGGGTGTGTGACCCTAGATGCTACTTGAGCACCAACTAATAAACTTCGACTTAGGACAGGCTTTTACCAGGAATTTTGCCAACAGCCTTATTTGTGTAGATCTGTCTTTCCAATAGATCAGTTGGTTGGGATTTTTGGATGGTGAGTTTTTAAATAAGGTGTTGTTTTTTTAAAGATTTTATTTATTTTTAGAGAGAGGAAGGGAGGGAGAGAAACATCAGTGTGTGGTTACCTCTCCCATTCCCCCTACAGTAGGGAGCTGGCCCAAAACCCAGGCATGTGCCCCAACTGGGAATTGAACCGGCGACCCTTTGGTTCGCAGGCTGGCATTCAGTCCACTGAACCATACCAGCCAGGTCTAAATAAGGTGTTTTTGAAATATCAGAGCTGCAGAAGCTGTTAGCCCATCCAGTATATATTCTAGGAAGAATTTGCGTAATGTATTTAATAGTATGTGTGGAAGTTCCTGAATTAAGTGTCAGGTATCAATACAACTTCAAGTTAAATCATTCATCAAATATTTTTAAAAGTGATGAATTATTTGGTGATATTGAGGTAGTTTGGGGAGATTTTTGTTTTTAAATATGACTTTTGAATATTTTCCCCGTGTTAATATTTCCTAGAATAACTACAAGATCAACTTTGTATGGGAAAGACAGTGGACTTAACTCTTAACGGTTGCTCTTGAAGAAAAATGCATAACTGAGTTTTTATAACACATCTTTAGTTTTTTGTTGGGAAATACGTGACTTTAATATTACTTTGTCAGATATTAACCGTTTTACATGTTTTGTTTCCTGGTGGAATTCAGGCTTTCATTAAAGATAGAACCTGGAACGAGCACACCTCGCCCTGCTGCTTCAAGGGAAGACTTAGCAGGTCAGTGCCTGGTTTTCTCTTGTGACCAATGAGAAGTCGGGTAACATAATAAGAACGAATATGACCAATGAGAATTCAGCTAAGATAATAAGACAGAATATGCTCCCAAGTAAGCAGATACTTAGCACATTTTATACTGTGTGCAAAATTTTATTTTTAATATTAAAACTTTCTGCTTGGCATATTTTTGATTTTTGATCATTAGAAATTTCTTTGGACAAGTGGAAAATTCTAATTTGGACAATTACAGAAGTCCGTTTTAGTGAGTTCATTTTTTTTTTATCTTACTATAATACTGGGTCAGGTGCTGAAAGCATTAAAGTATTGTCATAGTCCCTCACTGTATCTGCTGCATTATAACGAAGATCATATACATACACCACACATACTCAAAAGTGCAAAACTGAGAATTACTCATTATTTAAGAAATTACTGATCAGAACCTGTATTAAAATTTCCAGCACAGACCTTGGTAATAAGCTTCACGTTACTGTCTGTTTTAAAAAGTACCTGGAGGCCCATCACATACGGTTGTTGGAAGGAGGTGAGGGGTGAGCCGTGACCCTGTCTGGGGGAAAAACACCGCCATCTAAATATCTTAAATTTGCTTTTGTTAAGAGGGATATTTTGCAGATCTGTGTACTTTTCAGTTCTACTTTTATTTCCATGCATTTAAATCATAGATTTAAATTCTAATTTAAATGCTTAACACGCCCTACACAGTTCTTACCTACAAGGAACCCTAAAGTAACAGTAAAGAAGCCCCATGTAAAACCGTTGTAAGTGCCAGGGCACTGACCAGGGCGGGCATCCTCTGCTCTCTGAGGCCCCGAGCCCCTCTCTTCCAATCCTGCTTTTTCTGCTGCAAAGGGGGTGACGCTTACCCGCCCTGATTAGTGCAGGTCGGAGAGCGAAGTCGGTGGGTTTAGTCCACGTTGGGGTTTGAGTTTGAACACTTAGAAAATAGTACTTCTTGTGTTCATTCAGTTAAGCGGAATTAACATGTTACTGTAACGTTTAAACCACGTTTCACACTGTATGTGGAGGGATTCAAAATAAAGCAATCTTTTGAAAATGCCTCTCCCCCTCTCTCTTTTTAAACTGAACCCTCAGGTCCTGAAGTGGGATCTCCACAGAGTGGGAGGAAGAGCGTGGCCGCCGAGGGGGCCCTGCTGCCGCAGACGCTGCCGTCCCCTCGGAACCTGATTCCACACGGCCACAGGAAGTGCCACAGCCTGGGTTACAAGTCAGCATCTCCAGTTTTATTATCTTCCCGGCTTGTAACTTATGAATTGTTTCCCATTGGGTTTATTTTCTATTTATTTTATTAACTGAAAGTAGTGTCCTTGCATGGTTTTTTTTTTTCTGTTGACAGTAGTATTTTCTGATTCAGTAAAGTATCTTTTTTGCTTAAAAGCCTTTATCTCTTCCTTTACTTTAATTTAGAAATGAGCTTTTCCCATTAGTGCCTTTGCATTTGGGGGAGATAAGTGAGCCTCACAGAGCATCATAAATAAAACCCGCAAAGCGGTCTACCATTTTACTTTAGATTATAACCTTTCTTTGTATCAAAACAGTTGTTGCTTGTCTTAGCTAAAATAAGTGACCATAATTTAAGGTTTATAAAAATTGTTCTTCTTATCCCTAAATATGGGATAAAAATGGGAAATCATTTCATATTTAATTTGTTTAGCTTTGCAAGACCGTTTCCTCAGAGTGGGCTCACCTTTGCCATGATTGTGGTGAAACTTCACTAGCTATTTTCCAAAAGGGAGTGGAAGGCAGTTTTTTAAGGACCTGTTACTGAGGCAGATGTGGCCTGGTTTCCTAAAACAGTTTCTCTGAACTGTTAGTTGGAGGCCTTCATGCTAAAAGTCTGCATGTAAACTGCTGGTAAACCTTTCGTGTCCTGTACCTTTAAATAGCAGTGTCTTCTGGACCCTGAACTGGTAATAGTAATCAAAGGTATCTGTCTTTGTTTTCAGCTTCATTCACAAAATGAACACAGCAGAGTTCAAGAGCGCGACGTTCCCGAACGCGGGGCCCAGGCACCTGCTGGACGACAGCGTCATGGAGCCCCACGCTCCTGCCCGCGGCCAGGCTGAAAGTTCTACTCTGTCCAGTGGCATATCCATAGGTGAGAAGTATTTCTGGGAATGGTCGTTAACACTGCATGCAAATACAGAACATTCAGTAAAAGCAAAACAGCAGTCAGACGCAGGGTGTCCTTCCTAACTCTGGTTTGGACGTGTGTGGTCTGCAGGGCCTTGTCAGGTAGGTAACTGAGTGTGGGAGCCTGGAGTTCAGTGGGGACGGTCGGTCTGTAGACACCGGGACAGGAGTTAGCGCATTTCGGTATTTCAAGTCACAGGACCGGCTGAGGTCACCCAGGGAGAGAGCGTAAGTAAGTAAGAGGACGTTATAACATTTAGAGATCTGATTAATTATGCTTAAAAAAAAAAGAAAGAAAGGCTGGGCCACCAGAGAAAACTATGAAGGATCAATGAAGCAGGGGGCAGGGGTGGGGAACCAGGCGTGGGAGCACAGAAGCCAGCGGAGGACACGCCTCGAGGAGAAGGGCAGTGTGGGGCGTGTCAGTCAGCAGAAGAAGAGGAGGTGAGACTGGGGATCGGTCAGGGGGTTTGGCAAGAGCTGCTTCCCGGGATAGTGGGGACAAAGGTGGCCCCCGGGAAGGGGACGGGAAAGTGGGAGCATACTACAGAGGGGCGTGAGTTTACGACAGGAGTGTGTTTGTTCTCACTTCTTAAACTTTTATTCATTCTCCGAATCTTCTAGGTGACCTTTTGATGGTATGAAAATCTCCACACAATGCTATTTTTATTTTTAAAAAAATAAAAGAGGAAAATGTCTTCCCCTGTGATTAACAGGTTACTCAAGGGCTAAGCCTATTGTTGTTACTGGATGGCCTCAGTGTTTGTTGATGAAGAGTCGATGCAAAGAAATGCAGAGGAGTTCATTTTCTTGACCATCATGACCCCTCAACCCTTGAGAGTCCAGCCTCTGAAACAGAATTGCTTCAGAGCTTCCCACCACCGTGCAGCAGTATTTCATTCCCCAGTCCCCATTTTATAAATGCAAATGGTTCGGTGATGACCACGCTCATAAAATAGAAGACAAGTTGGCCACCTGAAATATGCCCTTTATTAATGCTGTGATTTGCCTAAGTGCAAATATCAATCTGAAAAATAGTACAAGGAGCCATTTTGCAATAGAGAAAGGAACTTTTTTCAGTTAGAAATTTGGTGCTTGTAGAATTCCGCATGCCACTTAAAACAGAAAGTAATTTTTTAATTACAGCTCTCACTTAAGTGTATATCTACATTTGGCTTTTTCCCATCATATTATCATGATAATTATGATTCTGTTTCTTTGTGGCTTTTTCTTTCCAAAGATATTCTAATGGTTACCACAAGCTAGTTATCTAATTATTCCTTCAGTTATACTTAGTGTCTCAGTTTGGAGACCTTTTTCTTGGAACAGGGAGAGACTAATTCCATTTTGCCTTTCTATTAATTTTATAAATTTTCTATGACTCTTAAGGAGATAAACAGTGAAGATTGTTACATCCTTGTTTGTAAATTAAGAATGTTAGACAGCCCTGACTGTGGCTCAGTGGGCACTGTCCTGCAAACCAAAAAGTCATCAGTTCAATTCCCAGTCAGGGCACATGTCTGGATTGCGGGCTGGGTCCCTGGTTAGAGGCATGCAATAGGCAAGTAACCGATGTTTCTCTCGCACATGGATGTTTCTCTCCCTGTCTTTCTCCCTCCTTTTACCTCTCTCTACAAATGAATAAATAAAGTCTAAAAAAAATTTAAACCCTCCTAGGGTTTCATTTTAAAGTTTTAGCAGTCTGAAAAGAAAGTAAGTCTATAACCATAAATGGTAGGTGTTAATACACAGACACACCAATTTTGTAATCACAAAAGGGTGTTTTCACTAGTTGTAACTTACATACCACATTTATCTGTACCGTAGGGGCTTGAGAAAGTGCTCTGGAGAAATTAACCAGTACTTGGGACAGCGGCCGCTGCCATTTTCTAGTGTAGTCGGATGTGGTCTTGCCTGCCTACGGGAGGCATAGCCACTGGGAGCGTGGAGCTTCTGAAAAAGCTTGCGTTTTCTCCACATTAGCCATACTGACCATGCTTAAATTTCAGTCTTTGCCACACAGTGCGACAAATCAAAAGGTCATCTGTCAGACCCACCAGCACATCGCCTCCCCTTTCTCATCTGGACCATTACATCAGTTTCTCCCCTGGACCACGCAACCAGAAAATTATTCCAGTGGCTGCTGCTCTGGATTTTACAAGGATGGTGCATGGCCATTCTAAATACTTAGGAGAGGCGCTGGTGCGTCACGTGTAATGGATACCCACAGCATCAGAGTCTGAGTCTCGTGGAACACTGGTTGTGCGAGGGATGCGGTTCGGCTGAATTAAAAAACCCCAAACTGTAAATCTGATGTTTAAAAAAGAGAATAACTTTTGATTTCAGGTAGCAGTGATGGTTCCGAACTAAGTGAGGAGACCTCATGGCCTGCGTTTGAGAGGTAAGAAACACTGTCCATTTGAACGTCTTTGAGTTTACTTTCTGTCTGAAAATATGTGAATAATACGGTTCACAAATGATCGCATGAATTTTACGAGATAATATTTATTACATATCTCTAAGGAGCTGTTGGAGCTTCCTGCTAATGGCAGAAATTAGACGTTGATACTTAGGTCTGAAATTGAACCTTTCCTAATATAATGTTTATTTGGTGCCTTAACACATGTATATGAATTTTAGTACATTTAAAATTATAGTGTAAAAATAATAACCCGTTCTGGGTGATATAAGTAATATAAGGCATGTAGCAGAATGTCAACGTCATTCTCTGCCACTTTGTCAAGAGCAAAGTGACTTAGTAAATTTTAAATTATACTGTAAGCGAAGCAGTTTGCAGTTTGAGTTCCCATTGCCATGAGCTCAGACTCTGCACGGAGCATGCAGGTCTGTACCAAAGCACCGGGCCCCGCTCGCTGCTCCTTTCCTCGTTGCTCTGAGCCGTCAGAGTCGTCACCAGCCTGTGCAGATGACGACCTACGATACTGATCTTACAATGTGACACATGCAATTTGGCTGCGCTTAAAAATGCAGCCAGTTGGTGCAGATAATGGTTGTTTACTAAATGATCGTTAGGGCTTTTATATTGTCTTTGACCATTTCAGTTCGGCCATTTTTATACTTATATGCTACTTGATTTTTCACCAAAATAATTGCTCTTTTTTGTATATGCAAAGCAACCTACATTTCTAAACAAGAATGCCATTCAGATTGAATTTTAAATATCATAGTAAAATTGAAATATTTAGCTACTTAACTTCGTATCAGTGACTTTTACTAGAAAACAATTATATAAATATATACTTAAAATTAAACTATATTTGAATTTTGTTTAATTGGAGAACTACACACTTGTTCTTGATGACACTGCATACAGTGCTCTCACCATTCTGTGATTAAGGTTTTACTTGTAAACCCAGAATTTTAAAGTACCGCTAAGCCCTTCCACACTATCAGTGTTCCCAAGTTTTCTTCTCTTTGTTTTGGGTAATTCTTAACACTTTGTTTTTGCATATTATTTTCCCTCTAGCTTTTACTATCAATCTCTATATTTGGGTTTCCCTGAAACGGAACAACCAGGGAGTCGCCTCCAGCATGTGCTGTCTGTACAAATTTGTCTCAGTTCTTTCTCTCTAGAAAGAGTGTAACGTCATCATGTCGATGATACGAGTTGTTGTAATTTTTAAATGAAAAGCGTCAGTGAACAACACTTTCTCAGATTGCTTGAGACATAAATGAGTTGCCAAAGTGGTGTGGATAACTGTTCTCATCCCAGCAGGTCATTTTCAAAGACAGTGTTTAACGCTGTTACCTTCACATCTCAAAACAACATTGTTTTTTACAACACATGTTTTGCTTTGCAGACGTTTGCAGTGCAAAAAAAACTACTGTACTTGTGCCAAGTTTAAATCAGTGGCTTTTGAAACATTTTGAGAGCAAATTAATGCTGCCCTGCAAGATTCAGACATGAAATATTAATAAGCGAATAAAGACCTAGGATTGAAAATACTACCTGTACATAATGAACTTGAAAACAGTAATCTGAATGTTAAACGTGCCATTTTTTGTTCTTACATCCTGGAGAGACATCAAATATGTTGCTGCTTCAGTTGCTAAAATAATGCTTTTTGTTTTAAATGTAATTTATCAACATGCTGCTTTTGGCTTTTCCCAGGCAAAGAAGTATCAATGTTTCTGTGTGTATTTTTGTTTCTTTTTTAGTCAATTTCTCTCTTCTATTAATTTTCTCAGACTTAGGAAAAAAGGGAGGAAATAAGGTATCGGGGCAATGTTAATTTTAAGTTCACAGACCACATTGCTTTTAGGTGTCTTCATAGGGACATACAATACTAGTGAATTATTCTGTACAAATCCAGGTGTCCTATTAAACTGGAATCCAAGAACTGGGGTGGGGGAAAAAAAGGTTTTCGAAGTAGTTTTCAGGTTTTGATAGTATCTGGTTGTAAACTCCTCTATAAGTATTTCAGCAGATGTGTGAAAGTGAACATTTATATAAATGTATGATATGTACCAGGCACTTATAAGTAATGTCAGTAGTAAAAGAAACAACTTTTTTGAAATCCATGCTGCATGCTTTTTAAAAAAAACAGAACCGGCGACATGCTAACCTTTTGTAAGATGTAGAAAGCTGTTACACGCAGAAGTCATTATACTGTTCTAGGTGTGGATGGTTGTGTGAGTTAAAGTGTGTGTAATGGATACAATTTATAATGGACTCCAACAGGAACAGACCGTACCATTCTCTCGGCCCGACGACTCGCGGGGCACGAAGTGGCTGTCGAGGCCACGTGAAGGCCAGCAGGTACACGTCCCCCACCTTCGGGGGCCACGAACCCCCCTCTGGTGCTGGTGATTGGCTTACCTGGGTGTGGTCTCACAGAATTTCTCTTCTTTCTCCACTAATTGGTTTAAAGACAAGGCCTGGGAAATTCTCCCAAGATTTAATCTAGACATAATTTTGAACTGTTCTTTCTGATCCACAGAGCTGATTGCTACAACTCTCCTCTTTATGTCCCATTTCTCAAATAAGTCCAAGTCAGTTTTTCATTGTGTTTAGAGAGTGAGGAAGGGGGTGAGGAAAGGAGAGAGAGAGAGAAGCATCGATTGGTTCTATATGCACCTGGATGCCACTCACGCCCAGACCAGGCATCAAACCCGTAACCAAGGCATGTGCCCTGACCAGGAATTGAACCCACAACCCTTTGGTTATGGGACAGTGCTCCAGCCAACTGAGCCACACCAGCCAGGGTCCAAGCTGTTAGCTTTTTAACTGCACAGGTCTTTCTAATGCTGCTAAGTTACTCGATGAGCAGTACAAAAATCCACTTCCAGCCTTACTCGGAGGCCTCCATCCAAGAATTTACTGTGCTAATAAGCATACGTTAGATTTGCCATTTGAAAGAACTTTTTGATAAACTGCAGGTTCTGAATGTAGAATAGTCTAATTTTATCAAATTAAACTTGTATGTTTAAATGCATACTCGCTGACTCATTTGTCTGGGTACACTGAGTCCTCTTTCTACACTGGATTAGCTGCAGAAGGGATGGGGTGATACAGCCTGATTTGGGGGCCGGAGGTTGGTGTTAGGGGGTATCAGTCGGTTCCTAACACCACGAAACAGCCCGTCGGCAGTGCACGTGATGTGTGTCGGTGGCGTCCACTCTCCTTCGTCTGCACCCCAAACGTAAACAGCTCCAGCCTGAACTTTCTGATGGCTTCCAGGCCTTTAAGTCACTTTGAAGACACCTAAATAACCCGTAAAGGGATAAATTAGCGAGCGTCGGGTTTTGTTCGCTGGCGTAGCAATTCTGCAGCTTGACTCAGATCAGCAGAGGAGGACAGGTTTTTATTAATGGGCGTGTTTTCGTTGATCCATGTAGAAATTACTCGTGTTTCAAATATAGGGCCTTAAATCAATTGGGGAAAGATATTTAAATGTTGGTAATTTTGTGATGGTTTTTCTTAAGCTATCTGGAAAGGAAATCTTGCGGTTTGGCGTTAGGCTGTATGTATGATCAAAAACTTACACATTGATAACGTGTGTCATTAAAATTGATCACAGAAAGTCAGTTTTGTTCATGTTTTTACTGCTTTTTTACTTCTGTCACCTATTGCAGAATTAAACTGTGGGGGTTTTTTTCCTTTTGAACTTTTTTCCTTTTTCCTTTTTGAACTTTTATTATCTTTACTCCGAGTTTTATAGGCTTAAATACTTTTAACAAATAGAATCCTCATCTTCCCTCCAAGGACTTAAAGTTTCCCACGGGGAAAAATGTTTGCACCAATGATGCAATGTGGCATGTTAAGAAGAAGAAAAGTCTTAAATCTTTCATGTACTCTTTAATAAAGTAAATTACCCTATTTTTACTGAATTATACATGTTCAAATATGTAATAAAGTGTGTGGTTTTAACCATCTGCGGACTTGAATAACTTCTGTAACAGCTTCTAAGTTTCAGATCAATGAACCTTTATAATTGTCCGTGTCTTCTCGTTCTGCATAAAGTAACAAAGTTTTAAAATAAAGAGGAATTAAATTTCATTCACATGCCTATGATAACTACTGTACACAGAAGCTCTTACCTGGTCTTTTTCTTCATTTCGTTGCGACAGCTCTGCAGAATCGGAAGACTTGGCGGTCCATTTGTATCCAGGAGCTGTTACTATTCAAGGTGTTCTCAAGAGAAAAACGCTGTTAAAGGAAGGCAGAAAGCCTAAAGTAAGATTTTACCATTCTGTGTGAACACTTCTGACAATATGTAAATGTGTGGGACCCCCAAAGTATGACGACAGCTGAGGCGGCACCAGGTGCACAGCACACACCTTTGAAGTCATTGAGGACACTCATTTGCCTGGCCCTGTTTCTCAGCTTAGGTTTTGGTGAAGTCACACACGTAGGGCGCTTAGATGAAGGTGCCCTGTGCTCCCCTTTGCCCCCCAGTGTCGTTCAGAACTGTCGTTCCTCAGAGAACGTTGGAGTACATAGTGTTAGGAAGCGTTTCAGTAGTAAGTTTAGGAAAAAGAGAGGCTAGAAAGTGAGGAACCTAAAGTGGAATCCGACCCATTTTGCCTGCCAGGCCTCCGTTGTTGGACTCGGTGATGCCGTTTTGTTTCCCCGCGTGAAAGAGAACCCAGGTCACGAACGTCCTCACCACCACGGCTATGTTTTAAAAAAGTTCGGTGGAACAGAGCCGTTCCCATGTGAGACAAAAGTTGTTTTTCCCCAACGAAAGCACAGTAGTTTGACAGCTGAAGAAAGCCCCCTTTTTTTCCCCTCAAATAACATTAAAGCTAGTTTGGAATAAAACCTTGATGTATATCCACACTTAAAAGTTTTTGAAGATTTGAAGGCCTCTTATAAAACTCATTTACATCTAAGCGACCTGAATTTTGCTGCTAACTTACAACCAAACAGCTGCAGAGACGGGCTAGTGAACTGGGTACAGCCCACCCGCCGAGGCCTCAGCACACCTGACAGGTGCCTGCCTGGCGGAGGTGGCGGTCCAGGGTGGAGAGCGAGCCCTTAAAATGGGGGAGCGCGACCAGGGGTGGGGGTGCCGTGTGAAGGGAGTTTGTCACCATAGCGAGGGCAAGGCCCCGGAGCCGAGATGGGAACGCGGGAGGTGAGTTAGTGCCGAGATCGCGCGTTCAGGGGATCAGATGGGCCGTGCAGGTGAAGCAGGTGGAGGGCGGGGATGTCAGGGGGCCACTTGACCCTGCGTGAGGTATGATGTGGGGAAGAGTGGGCGTGACGATCACTTCTGGGTTGGGGACCGAGCTGGGTGAGTGTCAGGGACATTTATTGAAAGGGGGGAAATTTGGCGCTGGTGATGGGTTTTTGTTCTTGTCTTTTGAGAAGGGGCAGGTAAGTCTTGGCCAGGTTCAGCTTGATAAACTCATTAGACCTGTAAGTGGAGCCGTCAGGTGGGCTCTTTAAGAAGTACAGTTGAGAAGTCCCGCAGCGAGGTGGTGGCGAGATGGAGGTTTGGGAGTCCTTCGTGGGCAGACAGTGCCGGACGTGTGGGCCCAGTGCAGTAGACTAGCTGGGAAGAGGAGACGGTGGGAGTGACCAGGGTTGGGGTTTCTCAGGAGAGCGGGCAGTGAGCTCAAAGTGTTTGCAAGGGGAACCGGCACAGTGCTGAGCTGTGCAGCAGACGGGGGTGGGGAGGCCGTGGTGATACTGGATGATATTAAAGCTGATGCGACTTTCGATGGAATCGGTAACCATCCGAACGAAAGTGCTAGTCGGGCATGTTGAGTGGAAGTGATGGGGATGTTCGAGGTGCAGGTTTCGTAGTGAGACAACTGAGGTTAAGGCCGGGCTGGGACGGCGGGGGGAGCAGGGCACTGGCTCGGAGGAGGAAGGGCACCCAGCCGGCCACGCCTTCACCATGTGTCACCTGTTTGTCCCTTCAGGTGGCGTCTTGGACGAAGTACTGGGCAGCTTTGTGTGGGACGCAGCTCTTTTACTATGCTGCCAAGTCGCTCAAGGCCACAGAGAGAAAACACGTGAGTGCGCCTCCCCCAAACGGCTGGCGCGGCCCCCTCGTGGCGGAGCAGGCTGCAGCCCCGGCGGAACGCCGACACGAGGTTTCCGTTCCGTGTTCTAGTCCAGAAGCCTGATCCCGCTTCCTCTTGGATTGTAATGGAATTATTTTTATTTTGTAAGACCATTCCAAGGAAAGCCTTGAAATAATTTCCATATTTTGAAGTTTCTTTTTCAAACTCTAGTTTTTTCCTTTGCAAACGTCCAAACTGCACATTACAAAAGCCGGTCTTGGCATCAGAGCCTTCCGAGCAGGGTGTCTCGGTCGGAAAATGGTTGCGGACTTTCGCCTTGGAGTCTCGGTTCTCGTGTGAGAAACTGCAGGCATCATCTAAAGAACTTTCCACCTCAGTCCAATTGAGTGATTTCTCCCAGCAGTGAGAAGGAATAGTAGTTACCGTGGTTACCGCGTTCCACTTTCTTGGGCTTTGTGTTACATAAAAGAAGCCTTAATGCTCATATCTCCAAATGTTAGAATCTTTCTGTGAATCTTTTTTGCATGCTGTTTTGTTTCTATATGCCAGTGATATATCCTCGAAAGGAAGGATAATTATCCACGTTTCATTCCTCTCTTTGAGGGGAATTCTATTTCTAAATCATGTATTTTCTGGGGAGACAAAGTGGTCCATCATTCCGAGGAAAGGTAAGCCACTGAAACAAAGAGTCTTTTTACTACTTCTGAGTTCACGCAAATAACACTACCTAGTTCTTTATCCTCACAGTCGGCCCTTTAGTCAGAGCAGAGGTAGAGAAGAGGATATTTTTGGTTTGAATGAATGTGGAAAGCGTCAGAAGGATGCCATGTTAATCACGGTCTTGCTTTTCTTCAGTTCACCCTGTGTTTCCCTATACAACCCATTTCCTCCTCCTTTTCACTGCACCCGAACAGAATCAGTCAGAGTCCTGGAGCCCTGGCTGTTTGGTTCCCCGTTACTGTCGTTGAGATGGAGTCCTCACACCCAGGGAGAGGACTGTTTTCTGAAACTGCCGGTCAAATTGACCAAAGTCCCTGCATACCAACAAAATTATATACGTTAGTTTCACTAAAGCACTATGCAGAGTAACTGCCTCGGGTTAGTGTTGCTGAGCTCAAGCCGGGAGAGTTGATACAGTTAACTCGACGCACAGACACTTTGGGATCCGTGGCTGGGTTTCACCGACTGTGAAGAAGTAGCTAAATTAACTTTTTAAATTTTTTTCTAACTTTGGTTATAAAGAAGCCAAATTAGGGAACTGATAACTGTACTTGTCATCTACTGCAAATGTTAAATATCTTTTTGTGTTTGGTGTTGCTGCTTACTAATAACATTATGGTAGTTTTGGTTTTTAATGATATGAGGTTCCTGCTAGATGACGTTCATGAAATACTAGAAATTAGAGCAGAGTAAGTTGTGAGGGGACTAAATCGAGCTCCCAAGGAAGGCCCTGTCTTCCTCACCCTCCCAGTAGAAACTGTTGGATTCAGGAAGGGGCTACGAGAGCCAGGCAGACAGTGCAGAGCCAGGGCCACGTTCCCATGTGAGGGCAGAAGCGATGCCAAGCGCAGGTGGCGAAGGACACACATTTAGGTGCAGGTTGAAAGGACAGGTCAGCTCCGTGTTAGCAGCGGTGAAGGGTTAAAGTCTGCTGTGTCGCCACAACACCACCTGTGCAGTGTTCCTGCCAAAAATCTAAGCTGAATCTAATTGCACGGCAACAGTGAAACCGGATCGTGGGACATTGTGCAGGATGGCTGGCTTGCATTCTGAAGACAGGAATCTGCAAGGAAGAGCTTTTTAGAGTAAAAGACTAATGAGCCTTGACAGCTAAATGCGATGCATGTGCCGCGGTAGAGTCCTGGAGGTAATTTTTTAAAAACTACAGAGGTCATAATTTAGACAGTTGAAGAAATTTTAATATGGACTTTATATGGTTGTATCGTTGGATTCCTTCGATATGATACTTGGTGGTTGTGTGGGATTATGTTCCTAGGAGATAGTTAGGGTTCAGTGCCACAGTGTCACAGTGTCCGCGACTTGCATCGGAATGTTCAGAGAGGTCAAGCAAATGCAGAACGGAGACATACGGGTAATTATCACAGCGTTTTCTTCAGCTTCTCTGCAGTTCCAACCTCTTCCAAATTCAGAGCTGTAGGAGAAAAATCGCTAGTGAAGATGTTCTTGTTTATTCTTGTTTATATTTGCATAAATGCAGAAGGAAATCTGGAACCCTACACACTTACGTGTTTTTACTCTCTAAAGTACGTGTGTGTGTGTGTGTGTGTGTGTGTGTGTGTGTTTGGCTTTTTGCCTCTGAGGAGCAAAGTGGGCTTGGGAAGGTAGAGTAACTAGGGCAAGAGAAGAGGGACTATTATTTTGTTATGTCTGTATTTTGGAATGCTCTAAAATGAAAACATTCATGTAAAAATATTCTTAGTGGAAGCGTATGTGTAATTATTGTAAAAAAGTGTGGATATACTTGAACCTATCACTACATGGTAATGAATGAAATGTGTATTGTTTGATCAGTTCAATTTTAAAAACCAAGACTACACCTGAAAAAGAAATCTATAATACACAGACCTTCCACTACTCAGCAGGAATAAAACAATAGGGAAATGGAAAAGGGAGATATAGAGAAGATGAAATATAAGTAACTACTAACAGGAAAAGATGATCACGCTCACTGGTTACCACAAATGCAGATGAAAGAAGATGCTTCTTTTTTGCTATCAGGCAAAAATCGTTTAAGGTGATGATACAACCTCGGCCGTCATGTAGGGAGACGGACCATCACCACAGTTGGCAGAAGTTTAGATTAGTAGTTTTGTGGTAGGCATTCTCAGCTACTTCTTGTTTTTTGCTCTCACCCATAAATTTTATTTTTATTTTTATTTTAATCTTTATAAAAAGACAACCTTTGTTGAGAGTCACAGCCCACTAGGCCGAGCTCTGAGGGGAAGGAGGGCCCCAGCCCCTGCCCGCCCGCCTGGCCTGCTCCCCTGCTGGCCCAGGGACCAGAGGGGCTCCCATGAGGCTGAGACTGGAAGCAGGGCCTTTTCTGCAGCCCAGGGAGGTCTGGGGGCCTCAGGCAGGTCCCGAGCAGAGCTGACCCAGAACCTGCCCTTCCCACTGCCTATGTGAGCACCTGGCTAGGACCCCCTGGGCTTTTCTTGCCACCCAGGGGCAAGAGGGGTTGGCTGCCCCCTCCTGACACCCCAGACAGTGAGAGAAGGCAGCTGCTGCCATGAGCAAAGCTTTGAAGACAGGTTTGCTGTGGACCCAGCTGCTGGTGGGAGCAGTGGAGACAGACAGCCAGTCCCCCCTCACCCCGCCGCTGCGGGCCCCTCGGCTGTCCTTGCCTCCACTGCTCTGCAGCCGTGGCCTTGGTCAGGTTCACAGCTTGTCCTTTCAGGACAGTGAGCCGGGTGAGTCTGTGGGCTCTGAGACTTTAAGAGAAGCGGCCTCTGTCTCCACGAGGGTCTGATCACCTCATTTGAGAGGCAGTCTTGCATGCCGGTTTCTCCGCAGCCTCACCTCACTCTGCAGCCCCTGCTTCTCACCCTCTTCTGCCAGACCTGCTGGCACACCTCCCACTCTGCCTCGGCTTTCCCACGCCCTCGACCAGCTCGGGGTGGTTCTGCAGCGCCACGCCCTGCTGGGTCGTGGTCACTGCCCGGGGTCCCCCCAGTTCCCGGTGTGCTCCACCTGCATTGCCACCCGCACTCCAGTGTGAAAATTATAGATTCAGCCTCTCAAGTTCCCCATAAAACCCCACTGGAATTTTTCTTGAAGTGACACTGAGTCTATAGGTCAGTGTAGGGATAATTGAAATCTTTATAATAGAGAGCCTTCTCTTGGTCTCATGATATTTCTCCATTGATTTTAGGTCTTCTTCAGTGTCCTTTAACAGTTACACTTTCTGGTGTATTCTCCCTTACATGTCTTCCTAGATAACTTTCTTACAAGTAACTTCTGTATTCCTCATGTATAGAGTCACAGTTGACTTCCACGTTGATCTTTTCCAGGCATCCTTGCTAGTATTTCTCATTAGGTTGGTAGAGTTGGATACATTTTCCGTGTAGGTAATGTTACCTGTGAGCAGTGGCAATTTCTTCCTCACCCTTTTATCTGTTTTGTTTTCTTACTGAGTCGACTGGGTCACAGTGGCAGGAGTCCTTATCTGAATCCTGATTTTGAAATGTTTTTAGCATTTTACCCTTCAGTGTATGTGTTGCAGGGTTTTGGTTTTGAGGGGGGGTTTTTTGGGGGGGGCAGCAGTCCTGCTTCGTTTTGGTGTGGTTTTTGTGTATTTTGTTGTTGTTAGTTTGTTTGATAGGTATTCCTGTTGAATTAGAAAGTTTCCTTCTATTCCTAGTCTATCACAAGTATGCATTTATATATTTCAGCAAATACTTTTCTTTTACCTCAGCTGAGTTGATGTTTTTCTCCCTTAATCTGTTAATATGTGGTGATTTACAGTAATTTTTCTAAAGGTGAACTAACCTCACTTTCTCGAAATGAACCCAGTCGGCTGCTGTAACTGACTTCTAACCCCTAACCCAGCCTCACATTCTGGCGAGGGGGCCAGTTAGGTGGTCCTGTGTCAGCTTTTCACACACGGCTGGGTTCTCTTGGCCAGTATTTTATTTAATGTTTTCATTCTGTTCATGAGTGAAAGCAACCTAATTTTTTTTGTTCTTTTATAACAGCTCTTTCTCATTACTAAAATGTAATTAAAAAAAAAACTAGAAAAGTAACAGATGCTAAGACATCTTTTTTTTTTAGAAATACAAGACTGTATTTCTAAGAGTTGTGTGGTAGCGCTGATAGTTTATGAAATCGGCGGGTGTAAGAGACACCCCTGTTGCACTGTGCGTCTCCAGCTTATCCAGTGTAACAATACCTCGGTTACATCTCGGTAAATCTGGGGAGGAAGCCTCAGTTGAAACGCAGCCGTGTTTGCTGTGAGAAAGGAGTGGGAGGGGGGCGTGGGAGCAGACAGGACGACGTAGATGAGTTTACCAGTCCACCGGCAGATCGTGCTCCTGACAAGGGGCACGAAGACACTTGGGTGTTGATGAGGAGCTGAAGCTGGGAAAGGTCTGGAAAGCAGGGACCATCTCCAGAGGGCGAGCCCGGCGGGAGTTAGCAGTAAGAGGCCGTGGGCACAGCTGAGCGGCGTGAAGGCACAGGTCTCCCCTCTCCCCGGGAGGGACTGAGCGCGTGCTCCCCGACACTCAGAGTCTGCTCAGGACTGGCCGTCAGGATAACCGTTAGCCGTCTCTTTACCTCTCAGTTCAAATCCACCTCGAATAAGAACGTGTCCGTGGTGGGGTGCATGGTGATGATGGCGGACGACCCAGAGCACCCCGATCTCTTCTTGCTCACTGACTCTGAGAAAGGTGAGTCATCAGAACAACCGGGGATTGAGGGGCTGCGCCTGTGCACCTTTCAGGGACCGGGAGCCTAGTTTCAACCGGGTGGCTACTCCACTGGGGAAGCTCGGCGCAGGTCTGTCTCTTGGGAAGTAGTTCCATCACACAATGTGTAGGAATGATACCAGTATTTTTAGTTATCAATTAATATTGATTGATTACTTATTTAAATAAGCTGACTTTCTTCGCTGCAGGGGCATAAGCTTGAAATTAAAAGTCTAATTAATCCCTAGAGAGCTGATAGCCAGGGAGGGAGGGAGGGGTTCCATATACACAGTGCCCTTCATCTATCCTGTGAATTAAATTGTTGCTTTTAGATTGTGAGTGTGGCAGAGGTTTTCCTGCACATTGTGTCTATTCCATTACTTTTTATCAAATTAATTGCTTATTTGGCTCAAAGTACTTTCCAAAGAAGTATAATTTTAATTATAATACGTTGTTTACAACATAGAGAGACATTTGTGAATAAAATTATTGGCTGTTGACCTTGCGTGTCCTTGAAGTGGACATAAGGGGTTGGAGGCTGGCTGTGTCGCACCCCATAAGCCTCCCACCCCGCTCGTGCGTGTCGAGACCTCAGGAGCTCGTCAGAACAGAGCCCCCCGTGGAGGGTTGGGGGGGAAGGGGCGGCACACACTGCTCAGCCCTGAGTCTCAGAACCCTGCCGTTTGCTACAGCATGGGTGGACCTCAAAGATGCTGTGCTACGTGAAATAAGTCCGTCAGATAAAGCCAAGAACCACGTGATTTCACTCCTGGGGGTCTCAAACAGACCTGTGGGCACAGGCAGCCATGCGGTGGTTGCCAGAGGGAAGGGGGTGGCAGAGGTGGGGGTTAGAAAGGGCCTGATACAGGGTGACGGAGGTGGTTGGCTCTGGGCGGTGGGCACACAGCGCAGTGTGCAGATCACGTGTCGTAGAAATGCACGCCTGAAACCTGTTACTGACCCATATCACCCCGGTAAGTTTAATAAAAATAAAACAAACTGGTCTTGACAAAGAAGAAAGAGCAGACGCTCACACGCCCGCTGCTCACACGCCCGCTGCTCTTCCCTCCCAACAACTGCCAGCTGCCAGGGAGCGGCTCCCCGCCCAGAATCTTCACTCCCAGCGGCGCGCAGCGGCAACCCTGTGTCGCCTTCCGTGGACTGCACGATTCTGTCTCGACCTCTGCGTGTCCCGAATGGGTGGGTCTCATATCAAACAGATAGACCGCTTTCGGGGTACTCTGGTGTTTTAAGTAAAAACACCATTAATGCCCTACACATACAAATCCAGAGAAGCCTAACAGTTTTATTGAGATATGCTTTACTCTGAACAACACTTAGGGAGGCAAAATCACTTCTCTCCCGATTCACAGACGGCAAAGCAGCGGCTTTCTGTGTAAGGGGCGTCATGGGAAGGTAGGGGAGAGCTCTTTGCATTAGAAACTCGGCGTCAGAGAACAAGAACTCTGAAACTAAGAACTCGGGTCTTGTTTTATTTTGCTCCGTGGTAGCTGGCAGAATTGTTATATGTGCAAGTCCTTATGTTTTTATTATTCCCCCCTTGTTTTTGGTAATTCCAGGAAACTCATACAAGTTTCAGGCCGGCAACAGGATGAATGCGATGCTGTGGTTTAAGCACCTGAGCGCGGCCTGCCAAAGCAACAGACAACAGGTGAGCGCCTCGCGTAGCCCTCAACATGGGCACAAGTTTGCAAGGAGCTCCAAGGAGGGGGGTAGGCTGGCTTTCTGAATGGAGTGGGGGAGCAGCTTTGTTTTTATTCTTGTTGACAGTATTTAGCAAGACATGAAGTCTGCGTTTTAGGGAGGTGGTCAATAAACAAATGAACAAACAAGAACAATCCAACTAGTGAAAACTAGACACGAAAACAAAATAGAATCATGTGATACCGAGTGGTGGGAGTAGCGGCAATGTTAGATAAATAGGAGGGAGCAGCAAGGGTCTCCCTAGGGGGGTGGCATTGACGTGGAGGAATGGCCACATGAGAGTTGGGGGAGCGGAGTTCCGGCAGAGGGGACAGGGACTGCAGCGACCCGGAAGTTGCAGTGAGCTTAAGGAGTTCGAAATGAGAAGACGTTCCCCCGCCCTGGTAGAGTGAGCGCAAGGGATGTAGTTCAGGGTGGGTAAAGGAAGTCGGGGGGGGGGGGGGGCATCCAGTCGGTAAAGGTTATTCTGATTCATCTTTATTTGTCCTGCTGACGACCTGATATGCGTTTCTGCGGCTGCAGCGAAGCCCAAAACCACATGGATTTGTTTCTCTTTTACTGGAAAAAGGCTTTCAGCTGCCAAGGAGAATGTGTCCACAGTGTCCTTATCCCCAGGCCCTGCTGAAGATTTAAAGTTGAGCCACGATTGGTTGAACAGACATAAACATAACTACAGTTAGGGGTATTTTCGTACACCTTTTTAGACCAGTTTTCAGTTGAATATATTTAAGAATCGTTGGCTTAAGATACTGAAATACGGTGCTATGAGTAGCTAATTTGGAATAACATAATTTGCTGTGTACGTCTATAAAGCCTATAAAAGTCTTCTCCGCCCTGCGAAATCAGGACCTTTTTGTGATATAGGAAGACTCCAAGGCTCAAAGGTGCTGAGTGACCAGTACCAGGTCAGACAGGTACAAAGTGGACCTGAGACACCAGCCAAGTGTTGCTGGAGTGGACCGTGCTTGTTACCAGTTCTCATTCACAATGCACGTGAAAGACTAACAGCATCATTTGGTGCCGCCATTAAGGACGCAAAAGGCTGTGGAGCAGAATTACCCTCTTGCCCTTGTCTAGTCAGTGCCTGGGACAGAGTGAAAGACACAGGCCTCCTCTTGCCCGGACTAATTTTTTTAGGACTCCACTTCATCCTGTACGTTTTCTCTAAATGCAGCTGGAAGTATTTGGCGTCATCGTTTTAATCTCAGATCTCAAGGTTAACCTAGACAGTGTGGGCCTGCTTGCTGAGAGAGTCGGCCAGATGTGTGTGAGCGGTGCGTGATGGTGTGTTTCCGTACTTGCAAGAACCAGAGTAGTACCGGGTTTATAAATGGAGGCCAGGAGGTTTGAGTACTTAGCAGGAGACTCCAGTCGACTCGTGTAACATCTTCGGCCACGTTCAGGCACCTTTGCGGAAACGAAAACTTTTACTGTCACACGGGTTTCTCATAACCAGGCCCGAGAGTGTAACTGAAGCGTTTGCGCATTTGCGTTCGTTGTATTTGATCTATAATTGTTGTGATTATATCATCAGATAATTTTTCATTCAGAAACACATGTAGGGGGTCGTTGTTTTTAGTGTCTTAGGTTTTCAAAAAAACATTGCTAAAGAGTGAGACCTGTTTTTTTTTAATCCTTGCCTGAGGATACGTTTAATTTCGGAGAGAGGAGGGAAGGGAGAGAAACGTTCAACGCCGTCTGGGGGCGGCGTGTGGTGTGCGGCCTGTTGGTTTTTCTGAGTCGTGCAGTACGCGACCTGGTCGTCTAACCACGAGCTTCATTCTTTCACACTTACTGTCATGATTTCACGACTCTTAGTCATGTTCATTGTACAGTTATCTCTTCTGGATTTGAAATTTTGCATGTGGGAATTCAGGTGCTTACAAGTGAGGAAATAAAGGGTGACAGGCTCGTTTGTCTGAAATCTCACCCTGCTGAGGGCTGCACTCATTCGCTCGCTCGGTGACCCTCTGCTGGGCCCTTGTGTCAGACGGGAAAGCACCGCCCTCACCGCTTCTCTGTCCGCCCGCAGCTCACCAGAACGGGAGTGTTTACTCCACACCCACCAATGGTTACAGTACCTTCTGTTAACATCCCTTCTTTGAAAAGATACTTTGTGATCACGGGAGGCGGGTGGAAGAGGGTATAAGGAGGATAAATGGTAATGGAAAAAAGACCAAAAGATAAGATATTTTAATTTAAGATTTTACTTATTTATTTTTAGAGGCGAAGGGAAGGAGAGAGGGAGAGAAATATCAGTGTATGGTTGCCTCTCATGCATCCCCTGCCGGGAACTGGCCTGCAACCCAGGCATGTGCCCTGACTGGGAATCGAACCTCAATCCTTTGGGCTGCAGGCCCATGCTCAATCCACTGAGCTACACCAGCCAGGGCAAAATAAGATATTTTAAAGGGGTCAAACATATGGCGACAGGCTTGATTTGGGATGGCAAACACAGTGCGCCCTGCAGATGACGTAGCATTGTACACCCGAAACCTTGTAGGTGTGTGAGCCATTGTCACCCAACAAATTTAATTTTTTTTTAAAAAAAAAGATACTTTAGGTGAGAAAGACTTTAGTATTTCGGCTCACTTAAAATGACAAAGAAAGATAAGAAATAGTACTTCGAAAAACGACTTTTAAATGCTTTCAGTTTGTGTGGATGGACCTACAGGGTATGACGCTGAGTGAAATGAGTTAAGCAAAAAAAGACAAACACCATTTGATCTCACTTATATGTGGAATTTAAAAAATAGACAAAACAGAAGCAGACTTATAGATAGAGAAGACAGAATGATAGTTGCCAAAGAGGAGGTGCTGGGTGCAAAGGTAAAAGGGTGAGCAGCACAGGTGGGTGGTCACTGAAGTGTCACGGAGAGTGTGGTCCACGATGGTGCGGCAGCTGCGTGTGGTGCCGGGCAGGGACTGGACTTAGCGAGAGGGGCAGGGGGGGAGGTGGGGGTGGAGAGCAACGTCGGTGGGGGAGAGACATCCATCCGTTGCCTCTCACACGCTCCCAGCCGGGGACCGGGCCGCCTCCCAGGCTCGTGCCCTGGCTGGGGGTCCACCCGGCGACCTTTCTGTGAGATGACGCCCAGCCCACTGCGCCTCCCCGGTCAGGGCACTTCATAGGTTGTATAAATGTCTAAGGATGAGATTGTACAGCCGAAACTAATACATTCTTCAGTGTCCGTTGTAATTGGGAAGTTTTTAATTTTTTAATAAAAAGAAATGTTACCATTCTGTAATGCTTACCGTATATTTTTATAGGTTCCTACAAACTTGATGACTTTTGAGTAAGGGCCTCGGAAAGAAGAGAGGTGAACTGTCGCCCCGCAGTGAGAGCGGGGACCTGTGGGGCCAGCGCCGGCGGGGAACCAGTCCTGGGCCAGGGAGGGTCCGGAGCTGCCGGCGCAGCCCCTGGGGTTCGCCACCCAAACCGCACTAACTTCAGGGAATGAAGCGAGACGTTCCCAGAGGACTGACTGGACTCGCAGACAAACTGCCATGGACCACGCCTCTGATCTCGGGACCGACCTGCGGAAACCACTGCCTTAAAGAGTGAGAGGAAAGCCACCGCGCGACACCAAACAGTGCGTGTGAATCTTCCGGCGGTGCTGTGCTTGGCATAGAGCATAAATCGCATTTCTTTTCCGATCTGCCGGATCTAAATGGATCTAATTTGCATTTCTTTTAACCTGGTACTAATTGGGGGGGAGGGGGGAATCGCCTTTTTTAGATACTTTAAAAAAGAAAAACATCCCCCCACCCATGGGCTACATCAGGGGCTCGTTTTGAACCAAGGTGCAGGGGTCCTCCAGCGGGCGGGACTCTCTGCTGGCAGCAGCCCCCCCCCCCCCCCGCCTCCCTTGTGCCCCCACAGCAAGACCCCAGGGACCAGAAATGTCATCTGTCGTGTGAGTTGCTGGAACTTTGTCTGGGACTTGGGGAGGGTTCTTGTTTGGTTTTGGATGAGGGAAGATATTTTTAAACACTAAACTTCTGAAATCGAGTACTCTGTGGGGAGCATGGCTTCCTGCAGGAGGTACAAAGGCTGAGTGTTCGCAGGCCAGGCATTTTTTTCCAGTGGGCTCCAGAAAACACGGCCATTTCTAACCGGCTTTACATTCAGCCTTCTATGTGAATTCATTGTTGGACCACAGATCTGCCCAGTAGAGAATGGAATCCCTGAGGTTTCACAGCAGTGACATCTTTCAGTTTAGTTGTATTATCTCCTCTACCTGTCACAGGTGATTTTTATCATCAAGGTGATAAATTGCTATTTTCTTTTACGTCATTTTTTGTGCACAATGCCAGTGTTTTTATTGTTTTTGTTCGATACGAGATTCAGGATCACATTTGTTTAAAAGAGGTTCCACATGTATATGTATGTATTTTTCTTAATAGACATACAAAATAATTTTAAAAGAGACAGGACTGAGATTCTGGGAATTTAAAATATCAAAACACTCCTTCTTCAACAATTTCCCTTTATTGCAAAACGATTCCCTGACGGCCTCACACCTCACACGCACACACACCACCCACCACCACCACCCCTGCCCCTGCCGTCACTGCCACAAAACCACCGTTAGTCAATAGTTGAGCAAGAAGTTTTGTGAGGGCTCTTGTATGCAATAATGCATTTGATATCCAAAGTAAATGTTCAGTTACAAAAAACAAAGATTGGAGGTGAGAAGCCTCAGAGTTTTAACCAAAAAATGGCATCTGAACAAAGGCTGTGTGTTGGATGTTGTAAATGCATGAAGTGTCGCCGTAAGTTTTAGCTCCGGTCCAGAGTGGGACGTTCTTTCTGACTGACATTTTCTAGGTGGCCTCTAGTGCTTTGGGCTTCCCGTGAAATTTCTCACGTTTGGACTCTTAGGAAATACAAATGTAAGTTCCACTCTTGTGTCATAAGTATTTCACTCTTGAATCCATGAAATTTAAGTGGAAACTATTGCCCACAGAATAATTAGCTACAAATCTATCCAAGGGAAGTAGAAGACCTGAGTGCTGAGGTTTTTTTTTAATTTAGATTCCTCTTTGGAAAGGATGTTACAAGTTAAGTATTTTTCTCATGCAGCACAGTTAGAAATGCCATTATTTCTGGTTTTGTGGGGAATGACGTGGGCTGGAGGGGGCGCAGTGTTGCCTGTGCTGAGTGACCGTTCAGTGACTGACCCCCGAGCTTAGCCCGCGCCGGGGACACAGAGAGATGCCCTCGGCGGAGCCACCAGTATTACTGTGTAGACCTTGCACATCTTATTTTGGGTTTGCATTTTTTAATTTTCTTAATTTGTTTATTTCTCTTTAGAAACAAGTATTTTTAACAGTGTATATGCTTTTAAAAAATATTGTGGTTGAGAGCCCTGTGGACTTTTCCTTATTATTTTGCTTGTTTGGCGTGGATAAGCTAAAGTAGATGCCTCGTGGGTCAGCCGTAGCTGTGGGGACAAGCGCCGAAAGTCGGAGTCCAACATCACGCGGTTTTGCCAAAGTGGGAGCCAGACCGGGGGGCATGTTTGATGCGCTCGGCTCTGAACACGAGCGGTTGCCTGCACAGACCGAGGACAGTGCTCACAGTGGGTGCCGAGGCCACACTGCAGCTTTAACACCCTGCGGAGAGGTCGTTGTCCGTCTTCTGTCTGCAGATTTGTCCTCTCGAGAGACTGGCCACTGCTCGTTAAGATTATCTTAGCATCCGAAGCAAATGGAAACCAGTAACGGGAGTGCGTTAAAACAGTATAGGTGAATTTTTTACCTCTGACTCACCAGATGATATATTAATTCAAGTGAAGAGAACAAGTCACCAAAAGATGCTAAATATGTAGGTAGTTTATTAGCAGGATGGTGAATTTATTTCCCCTCTTATTAGGCCAGCCCTTTATCATTAGTCAGTTAGTGACTCAGAAGCTTGAAATCCTTATCAATATTAAGTTCATTCGTCTCTCTCCTAGCCAAGAAGAGCTCAGAGAAGCGATAAAGTCAGCTAGTCCTTGAGCGGCACAGCGCCTGGTGTGTCCCTGGCCAGGCGTCGCAGAGAAAGCGCCACCAGCCCGAACACCTCGGGGACACTCCCTCAGCAGTTTGAATGCAGAGGCTTGTTTTTCATGTGAAAATGACCACACCGTGACCCTCGGGAGCACCGTTTTCGGTCTCCTGCCCCCTCTGTGTTCAGGCCGTGTTTATCGTTGTGGAGGGTTTTTTGTTTGTTGGTTTGTGTTTTACTGTGACCTCCAAAATGTGAGAATTGAAGGAGAACTGATCAGACACGCCTTCCAGTTTCATTTTCTTCACTGTGGAAATACTGTTTGTGTAAACATCACAGAAAGGGCTCCAGACCGTTGGGGTGTGCGTGTGTGTTCTGTGCCCAGGCACGTGCTTCAGTGTCGGGCGTTTCTCTGTGCGGGAGGCCCGCAGGCAGACTGCCGCGCTGCCGCCCTCCGTGCACCTCCGTTCCCTGCCGCCTGGGCGGCCCGTCCCGCCGCCTGACACGAGGTGCGAAGTTTTGGGGAGTGGCTTTCCTCTCCCCCTGGAAGACTTGTAAGGGAGACCGAGGAGCGCCGCTGTTGAAGGAAGTGGTGTTTACGGCATCTGGTGCGCACCCTCTGTCCGGCCTTGGCCCTGGGGCCCGGAGAGCAGCCTGATCTAGTGACCGCTCGGGGTTACTGGACTGCAGCTGGCCAAATGACTTGAGCTGGCCGAATGACTTTTCTTTTTTCAGGTTAAATCTGTAAGCCATCGGCCTTGACTACCAAAAACAAAACTGTAGGCCCTGGTACTAACTAGAAGTCAGCAATAATAGTCGGTTCAGTCCACTGACGTTTTTAGAGAATATGTCCTCTGCTGACTTTTTCCCTGTTCGTTTGAGGCACATTCCTTTACAGGCCGGTCTTATAGCGCTGTGTAAACAAGGGGTTACGTACCAGTGTTGGTTAACAGAAGACAATCTTTAATAAAAGAAGTCCTTTGCTTCAGAGGCCTTCGAAATCATCGGATCCCTGTTTGGAAGTGCAGACGAGCTTGCCCAGGGTGTGGCGGCAGAACAGCAGCGCAGGTGGTGCAGAGCGTGAGCGGTGCAGAGAGCGTGAGCCGTGAGGTCCGCCTGCTTCCTCGGCCGTGGGGGTGCTTAGGGTCTGCTTTACCTTCCCACTCTGTTCTTTCGTGTTTTTTCCTTTGAAGACTTTACAGCCAGAGCGATATTCTGTTTTTTTCTATGCTTTGACATACAAGCATTATTACTTACATTGATGAACATTATTTTTCATGTGACGTCACCCTTTTCAAACTGATTTCAGTACTTTTTGCTTTTGTTTTCTGAAAAATGGCTTGTGTCTAAAGTGACTTTTTTTTTCTATTTAGAGGATTCTAGCGAAAGAGATCTGTGCATGCAAACTCGTAAGCTCACTGAGTTATTTTCAGGACACGGGTACCTCAAGTTGTGGGGGGGGGGCTCTGGTCGGTGCCTTACCCACTCGAAGCCACTTAGGGCACCGAGGACAACAGTCGTCCTCCGCCTCGTCCTCCTCTGTTCAGGGGTGTGAGCCATCTGCCCCTCTCCACCAGCTCGCTCTGTCCCAGAGCCCTCTGAGAAAGTCTGTGCAGGCACCTGCAAGCAGTTGTGGTCCTCCTTGGCTTTGAGTCTTTGTAGGTCAGCTCCTCCCTGCTCCTCTCCTTCCAGGTAGGAGATTAAAAATAAATCACCCACAAATCGCCCTTCAGATGAGCAGTCGTAGGAACAACTGGGCAGAGCGTCCATCACACTGAGTTTATTTTGTGTTGTGGGTTTTGTTTTGTTTCGAGCACACAGTTATAAGGCCTTTCATAAGTCTCTCAAAATAGAGCATAATAAGGTCAGAAAGGTGTGTTTGGGTTTCATGAAAGCTGTTGAAGTCTTGTTCGTTATGAGAGTCCCTTTGGCCAGCAGTGAGCTTTGGTTTGGTTCATTCTTAGGTCTAAATAAGACTCGGAACAAACAGTCACCTACCCTGCCAGTGATTGCTTACATGGAGACATTGTGGAGGAAAGTGAAAACATCCCCAGTGTATAAATTAAAGGGAAGTTAAGAGGCTAGACTCCCTTTCCCTATAACAGCAGGGCTTGGAAACATTCTGCTTCTCTGTGATTATTGCAAGGTCTGCGGTTCAAGTGAGTCGGTTCAAGTGAGTCGAGATGCTGTTTTCAGAAACAACGAAGGGCCCGCCTGGTCCAGAGCAGGCGGGCAGACACGTTCTTTAAAGCCGCGTGAAGGGCTGGCTGGTCCGTGAGGCTTAGTCATTGGCAGGATTTGAGTTTTGAGTCTGGTCATTTGGACTATGGAGTAGGGAGGGATATACAGTTAAAGGGGTATTTGTTTGTTTTTTACTTTCAATAGAAGATTTCATAAATATCAGCCATGCTTTAAATACCAGCTAAGAAATACTAAGTTTCCCCTGAAGGTATCACCTATTAAGACTATCCCCATAGCCCAGGAATTACGGACTTACTGGGTCCGAAAGAACAACAGCCGTTAAGAAGTCACCACACTCTCCAGAGCGTCCACACTTGGATTACTGACACGTTCATTGTCTCACAGCCTCCCGGAGTGTGGGCCTGTGGGGAGGGTGGGGAACACCTTCCCAGTGTGGCCTGAGGGCCACAAGCACCGGGGGGGCGGCGGATGAGTGTCCAGTGACAAGGCTGCAGGAAAACACAAGCCATCTCACCCTGTCTCCCGGTTGGCCTGGGGCGCCCTCGACAAAGCACCGGTTGCACTATGACCTCCTAGAGTGACGTGCGGCTCGGTTCCTCTCCCACTTTTTGTTTCTGTTTAATATGCAAATGTGAGTGTGAGATCTTTCGTGTGTTTGCATACGCTAACTTAAGATGAATTTAAGTACAGTTTTCTGAAATATTTCTATTGAAATAAACTACTTAAAAATACAGGTTGTGCCAGGGTGATGACTTATTACCATGGATACGTATTTATCATTAGCTTTTACGTAAACCCTCTTCCTGAAGGGGGCGACAGGAAGACACGGCAGGTAAGAAGCAGCTCCTGTCTGGTTCAGCTGCGGCTGCTGCTCTCTCTCCCAGGGCAAGGATGCGCCCTCCTGACAAGCGGGGGTCTCGGAGGAATCATGAGAGAGCGCTCACACTCCATCTGTCAAACTGGTGGAAAGTAGACAGCCAGACAAACCCAGCTGTAGAGAGGCTGGGAACCATCAGCACCTCGTTTGTGTGTGCAGGGGAGGGCGTACCTGGCGAGGCCACGCCAGAGTGCGGCAGGCAGCGCGTTGGGAAAATCGTGCCCCCCACCGGAACCTTCCAGTGCTGCTCTTGGAGTCGGGGGTGGGGGGTGGAGTGAGGGATGAAGGCGGAGTTTGCCATAGAACAAGGGGGGGTCTTTGCAGAGA